TCTCTCCACCTTTAGCACCAGACTTTCCAGACGGTTTCCTACACAGACAGTGTGCAAGCTGCGCTGTCTTACCCTGTCCATTGCCCTGCCTCTGTCCCCATGGCATACTGCCTCAACCTATTCGGGCCTACCTGACCCTTAGCCTCTTTGAAAACTTGCACTCTTTGTCCTTCCCAGCAAGGACACAGCACACAGCATCAGTTTATTATCTGCAGTGATAATTTTGTCCTACCCCCCCCTTTTTTTTTTGGACAGGGTAGCTCTGTGTAGTCCTGTCTATTGATTTTTTTTTTTTTAAGACAGGGTTGCTTTTGTGTAGTCCTGGCTGTCTGGAACTCACTCTGTAGACTAGGGTGGCCTCTAACTTGCAGAGGTCTGCCTGCCTCTGCCTCCCACTTGCTGGGACTAAAGGTATGCACCACCACTGCCCAGTAGCCATCACTTTAACTGTAAATCTGTTCTTCCCTCACTAAATTTAACAGCAAAGAATGAGAGTGGACACTTTTGTGGCAGGCTGGGGGCAGCCCACATCTTCTCTGCTTGCCTTTCACTCGCTAAAACTCATGCCACTACACCTAGCTACGAGAAAGAAGAGACAGCACAGCTGTGTGCCAGGAACCAAGGGGAAGGAGTTGGGTGACCTAGCGGTCTATGTCCTGGGCAGGCAGGCCAGTGTAGCCTGCGGGAGGACAGGCTGAGGAGGCCATGGTCCAAGGAGACGGAAGGCGGGTTAAGGAGGATGCAGAGGACAAAGGTAGGAAAAACTTACACTCGGTCTGGGGAGCATGGGTAGGTTGCTGAGGTGTGACTGTTAAGATTCAGTGAGATGAGGTGATCATGGACGGTGCCAGGATGCTGGGAATTCCAGAAGGAAAAGCAGCAGGCCAGGCAAGCTCCGAAGTCCTGTGGGAGGGCAGTGATTTGCACGGGTGGAAGAGGTCAGAAGTGGAAGAAGATTTGTGCTGCCCCAGCCGGGAGGAGCCCTTGGTCTTGGTGGGTGTGGAAAGGAAGACTGCAGGAGTGGATAGGATAAGAGAGAGGTCAAAGGGTCAAAGGATGAAAGTGTGAGGGAGACAGGTAGGAAGCCAGGAACATTCCGGGACATGGTGGTGGCAGGAAAGGTAGAGAAACCAGTATCTCTCTCTTTTTTTTTTTTTTTTTTTTTAGCTAGAGAAGAAATGAAACATGTGCATGCACACATACACACACACACACACACACACACACACACAAAACAAAGATAAAAACAAACAAACAAACCCTCCCAAAACCGTGTTTAGCCAGCTCACAATGAAATGTGCATTCATTAAAAAGAATTTCTCAGTGCTGGGCTGAGTGAGCAGTCGTCTTGGTTTACCGTGGATGCTTATAAATGTTTGTGCACGGAATCAAACGAGCCGGTTGAAAGCTGGCACAGCGATTCTTCCACCCCTCCCCCGCCCTCAGGCGGGAAGCCTGCATGGCAGGGAGTTTCTGGCACACACCACACATTCTGGTTTGTCATCGGTCGCCACCCTCCCTCCCGCCACTCGGTGCATGAGGGCCTGCCAAGCGGGAGTGCAGCTTGCGCTGGTCACAGTCTCTGCCCCCCCCCCCGCTGTATCCAGTGAGCAAGGCCAGCCACAGAGAGCACCCAGCCGCCCCAGGCCCGTCCCCTCCAGCACTCTTGCCTGTTGCATTTCTTCCCTTTTCAGCCCAGTGCTTAGACCCCACTGGGCTCTTTTCCTCCTGTGTTCTTCTTTCCCAGGGCTGCAGTTTCTCAGTCTCTGCACTGTTCCAGAAACAATCCCATCCTTCCCCCAAACGGCCACATGTCTCTTTGGCCGCCATGGAATAGGGTGTTTAGAAACAGTGCGAGGGTGGCCCCGCACACACAGAAGGGCCTGTGCACTCTGGCCTTGATGCCAGCTTGTGGCACTCCCCTGAGCACTGACCTTGACGGCTGGGAAAGGGATTTGATTAGTGAAACGTGCAGGGAATAAGGGGTTTCTACAAATAGCACCTTCAAAGTGACCTCCGAGTGACAGACGCTGTGGGGAGAGCCTGGCATGGTGACTTGCAAGTTCAGGTTGTGAGCACCTCTCACTCTTTTCTTCCATCATTAGCGCAGTATGAGGCTGACACGGAGGATGTTGGTTCCCGTCCTATTAGTTACCTCTATTGATCACTTGGCCTGTAACAGAGGCTCTTTGGGAGTCCTGCAGAGACTTTGATCAGGGTGTTTCTGTGTGGAGTCCTGTTCATGCACTAAAACAGTGAGCAGCTGCAGTAGCCATGCCTCGGCCACTTGAACTGGTTTCCTCTTCTTCTGTGTTGAGATGAGACCTCTCTGTTGGTGGGCATTTCTGTCCTTCTAGCAGCTCCCAAATAAACACACTCAGGCTTATATTAATTATAAATGTTGGGCCAATAGCTCAGGCTTGTTACTAGCTAGCTCCTACATTTAAATTAACCTATATGTCTTACCTATGCTTTTCTCAGTATGGCATGCCCATCTTGCTTCTGCTGACTCCACCCTTCTTCCTCCAAGCATCCTTAGTTTGGAAGCCTCAGTTTTGAAATGTAGGCACAAAATTTTGCACATACGCGTGTATACACACACACACACATACACACATTCTTCCATGTTTATGGTGTGTAGTCTTTTTTACAGTGAAGATTCTCCAGGGGTTAAACACATTAAGTTATTTTTAAAAATCGGAAACACCAGTTATTAGAAATAAAACACAGAAACAAAAGTAACCACATGGGCCCAGCACTGTGTGGCTTTACGTATTTACAGTACTGCATGCTGGATGTGATGGGTTAGGCCTACAATCTCAGCAGTCAGGAAGCTAAGGCAGGAAGATTGCCAGGAATCTGAGGTCAGCTTGGGCTAAAACAATAAGGAATTTCAAAATCTTGACAGCTCTCCCCCCTGAGACAAGGTCTCACTGTGAAGCCCAGGCTGACCTTGAACTCACAGAGATTCACCTGCCCCTGCCTCCCAAGTGCTGGGATTATAGATGTGGGCCACCATGCCCAAAGCTCTTGACTTTTTAAAGTTTGCATAGATTCTCAAAGTCATTGATTAGTCCTGGAAGAGCCACACCCTTGATGGAGGGTGTGTCCCACTAGATTTTTAAGCTTCTGCCAGTAGTCTGGCTTCTGACACAGCAGGCTAGGGACAGTGACTCATCTGAAGTTTTGTGTCCTTACTGCCAGCCAACCAGGGATTATGTGGCCTGGTGTTGGTATCCACCCAGCTACAGAAGGGAGAAGACCTTGGGCTCGCTTTGCTGTAAGAAGTTTCCCTGGTGGGACTGTAGCTCAGTTGGTAGCATGCTTAGCATGAAGCCCTGTCTTTCATCTCTAGCACCTTATAAAATCAGCCCTAGCACGTGGAAGGTGGAGGTGGGCAGATTGGAAATACAAGGTCATCCTAGGCTACAGGTAAGTCTGAAACCAGCTGCCCACTGACCATGTCTACAAACAAACAGCAACCAAATTTAGAAAACCAGACCCCTTTCCCAAAACCCCTCAACACAGGCACCATCATTTGTAGCAGAAATGATTTTTTTTTCATTTTAAAATTAATGTTTCAAACTCTTGGAGCCCCATATTAGGTTTCCTCATTCTAACTTACAGCTTTCTCCCAAATCCAATTTAAGAATAAACCTCCCCAGGCTCAGTCTTTCTCAGCCCCCCTTCCCCCTTCTCTCTTTCTTCTTTTAGGTTTTTTGAGATAGTTTCATGGAGCCCAAGTTGGCCTCAGACTTGGTATGTAACTGAGTTCTGGGAATGTCACTGCGAGTCTCATCAATACTTCTTACTATTTACATCAGTAAAGATGAAAATGAAAGTATTTTTATTCTTCTGCTCATTTTGTCCTAATGCACAAAAAATTGTGTTTTCTGCCTTCCTAGACTCCCCACTCTTACCTCTCACCCCCCACCCCAACCCTGTGCAGAGAGGTCTTGTGCGCATTAGTTAAGAGTTCCGTCACTAAACTACACCCCAGTCCCTTGTCCTCATAGTCTACGCGCTTTGGGATTTCTGCTTAGTCTCCGTGTTTGTTGTATATAACTCTTTTGAAGTGAGTGATAGGCCATGTTTTTCTTATGGTTTAGATTTACCAGATTGTAAGATTATCTTATCAGCATTTCTTATAATTTTTTGATGTGCATTGGTGTTTTACTTGAGTGTGTGTCTATGTGAGATTGTTGGGTCTCCTGGAACTGGAGTTACAGATGGGCATGAACTGCCAGGTGGTTTTTGGGAATTGAACCTGGGTCCTCTAGAAGAGCAGCCAGTGCTCTTAAACTCTGAGCCATATCTCCAGCCCCTGAGTATTTTTTTTTTTTCTGTAGAAGACTTCTGCCAGATGGTGCTGGCGGCACACACCTGAATCTCTGTCCCACAGAGTGAGTTCCAGGACAGCAAGTGCTACACAGAGAAACCCTGTCTTTTGTTTTTTGAGATGATGGGGTTTCTGTGTAGCCTTAGCTGTCCTTGGCTGTACTAGAACTCAATCTATAGACCAGGTTGGCCTCAAACTCACAGGGATCCACCTGAGCACTGAGATTAAAGGCATTCGTCACCACCACCTGGCAAAAGAAGACTTGTAGGAGTACACTGCTGATGTCGTATTTGCACATGTGTCCCACGTAGCTTTTCTTTTCTTTCCTCTGTCCTTTCACACTCTCTCCACAGTGCTGGGATCTAACCCAGGTCATGCACATGCTGGGCAAGCACTATTTATACCGCACTACAAACCCAGCCAATTCTTCTTCTTGGTGAATGTGTAGACAGGAATATTTTACCAAAATTGAGAGTAAAAGCAGTGGTTTTGTATGCTAACGTTATTTCACACAGGCCTGGGTGAGCAGCACTTTAGCCAATCCTCTGAATACTTGTGAAGCCCGTGAATGGGGATTACCACCATCTCCACTTTAAAGATGGAGAGCAGTTTCAGGCCCCACCCTGATGGCTGCCCACCTTTGTCTTGTTTCTCCACCCAGTACTTTGGCAATCCACGGTCCATCACCTCTCGGTGTGACTTGAAGGCAAACCTCATCCAAAATGGCTGTGGAGGTGAGATTGAGAGTCCAGTCAGCAGCACCCGTGTCCTTCGGAGCCTACCCCTTAGCAGCAAGGGCTCCAGTGTCTCGGGCTCTGACGTCATCCAGATGACACCACAGGAGATTGCAGTGAGCCTCCGGCCAGGTGAGTCTTCCTCAGGATGTGTTGCTGTGCTGTGGGATCAGAAAAGCCCAATGGTTCCATGCTAACATGGAAAATGGGCTTGGTTGAGGTCAGAGCTAGGAGATGGTAATGTTCATACACAGAAGCAGAGTATAAGGTTGCTGGGGATGGGGCTAAGAGGAATATCTTGACCATTTTTTGTTTTGCAAGACAGGGCTTCTCTGTGTAGCTCTGTAGATCAGGCTGGCCTGGAGCTCACAGAGATCCACCTGCCTCTGCCTCCAGGGTGCTGGGATTAAAGGTGTGTGTCACCACTGCCTGTCCAATTTTTTTTAAGATTGTAGTAGAGACCTTGCCTGCAGGCATGAGGCAGGCATTGTTGCTTCTGCAACAAACAGAATGAACAAGCAAACCCCAACCCCACCCCCCAATGATTAAAATACAATATTATGGTAGAATATGTGTATGTATATGTATACATACACACAATAAATATATACATATGCATACATATGTGTATATGTGTATATATACATATATATTTAGCCACACATACCGCTAACTATCATGCAGTTGCTAGTATTAGAAATAAAGTGAGAACGGTATTGGGTGTTAGTTAGTGAGTACAGTGCCCGGCAGGTCTGAGGGAGGGCCCAGCTCTGGGAGGACTAGGGTCTGGGACACACCCAAGCCACAAAGATGTTTTGGTAGAGGGGCTGAAGAAAACTGGAATCTCTAAAATTCCATCATCATTGTGAACATGTTTCTAGAGATGGAGACACTTGACACTATAATGCCTCTTAAAATTTTGAAGCAATAGTTTTAATACTTATAAAGAGAAATAGGCAAAACCCTCTTATATGGGGAGAGGGGATGTAGGTGTTTGTACTTAGCAAAAATCTCAGTTTACCAAGTGAATTCTTGCCTCCAGGAAGCTCTTCATTCCCGGAGAGTGTCAGGTATGTGGGGATTAGCTTTTCCATTTAAAGCTGTAGTAATCCTTTCGCGTTTTCTCACCAGCCCCGCCCCCGTACCTCAAAATAAGCATTTGTAGAGTGAAAAGGAATACTTACACAAGACTAGCCAGGGACAAGCCTCAGTATAACTTGAATATACCCCAGGGAGGCCAGGTTACCATCTTAGGGTAGGTCTGAAGGAGAAGGAAGGGGGCTGGGTGGTGAGGGGGGAGGGTAAGGGAAATGAGAAGGATTTCCTTCCTTAATCTTAGTTCTTTTAAACTTACATCTTGGGCTAGAGAGGTGGCTCAGCCATTAAAGTTACATGTATTTTTCTATCATGGTGGCACACACCTTTATTCCAGAACTTAAGAGGCAAAGGCAAGGTGATTATCTATGAGTTTGAGGCTAGCCTTGTCTACATTTTGACAACCAGGGCTACGTAGTGAGACCTTGTCTCAAAAAACAGTTCTATCCATCCACCCACCCATTGACTCATCCATTTCTGTGCCCGTGTGCACATGCGTGTGGTGGCCAGAGAACAGCCTGCTGGAATCTCTTCCCTACTTCCACTCTATGAAGGCAGGGATCAGACTCTGGTTGTCAGTCTTTTCGGCAAACTCCTTTACCCTCTGAACTATCTCTCTTGCCCTTTGTTTTTATTATTGCTTTTATTTTTAAAATTTATTTTATGTGTGTAAATGTTTGCCTTACATGTATGTCTGTGTGCCACATCCATGCCTGGTACCTTCAGAGGCCAGAAGAGGGCATTGAATTTCCTGGAACTGGAGTTACAGATGGCTATGAGACACCATGTGGCTCAAACCCAGGCTCTTTGGAAGACCAGCCAGTGTCCTTAACCATTGAGCTATCTCTAGCCTCAGTGTCCTTAACCATCGAGTTATCTCCTTAGCCTTAGTGTCCTTAGCCATCGAGCTAGCTCTCTAACCCCACTTCCACTAAAAACAACTATAATTGTATTTTATTTGTGGGTGCGCGTGTATAGGTCAGAGGCCAACTTTTTATGAGTCATTTTTCTTCCGTCATGTGGGACCTGAGATCAGACTCGGGCCATCAGGCTCAGAAGCAGTGTGCCATTGGCCTGAGAGCCGCCATCTTACTTGGAGCCCTCCTTCTTTAGTTCTTAATTAGTATTTTAAAACTATTTCTAAACCAATATATAATTCACATATCACAAGATGTACAGTTTTAAAGTTGAGGCCACTGGTTCTAAGTCAACCATGAAGCTGGGTCACTATCCCACTAATTCCAGATCATTTTCTGACCAGCAGTTCGAACTAACAAACTCCTCCTCCTCCTCCAAACCATTCATCTCTAAGATGTTGCCTTCGCTGAACTTTCCTCAGTTGTATAACTTGGGGCCCTTAATTCATCCACATTGTAAAATGGGCTTTTCCCTGATGTTTTTGAACCAGAGTCTCGCTGTGTAGCTCAAGCTGACCTGGAATTTGTGACTGTCCCATCTTAACCCTCCTAAGGCAAGTAACTGCCATGTCCCTTACTTCATTCTTTTTATGGCCAAATGATACTCCACATAGTTAGGCTGCGATTTAGTTGATGGATAGACTGTTTCCACTGGGTAATTTTGAACATTCATGTACGAGATTTTTGGGGACCATGTGTTTTCAATAATTTTAGGTCTATATCGAGGAGTAGAAATGCTGGATCGTATGGTAATTCTGTGTTTAACTTTCTGAAGAACTGCCAAACTTTAAGCAGGGTTTTGTATAAATACAAGGATCATGTTTTCCATTTTATTTCAACACTGGAAACTGTATGTCAGGATAAGAATTTTTTAAAAAATCCTTAACAAAGAAGGTTTGAAATTCTTAGGACATGCATTTTAAGTAAAACTTAAAGAGATAAGCGAAAGCTAGAGATAATTTTCAAACACTGGGACGCTCAAAAGCTTCCTTTGAGTTACTTATTCACCTTAGTCTGTTAGTTTCTTAAATATTTCTTTTAAAAAATATATTATTATTGTTTGTGTTTGTGCATGCATGATGTGTGTGTGATGTGCCACACATGTGCCGTGGTGCCTGTGTGGAGGCCAGAGGGCACCTTGTTTTTGAGACATGGTTTCTCCATGTAGGTCTGGCTGTCCTGGAACTCACTCTGTAGACCAGGCTGGCCTGGAACCTGCAGAGATCCACCTGCCTCTGCCTCACAAATGCTGGGATTAAAGGTGTGTACCACCAGGCCCAGCCAGAGGATAACTTTTTTTTTTTTTTTTTTTTTTTTGAGACAGGGTTTCTCTGTGGCTTTGGAGGCTGTCCTGGAACTCGCTTGGTAGTCCAGGCTGGTCTCGAACTCACAGCGATCCGCCTGCCTCTGCCTCCCGAGTGCTGGGATTAAAGGCTTACGCCACCAACGCCCGGCCCCAGAGGATAACTTTTACAGATGGCCTGAGTTCAGATCCCTGGGACCCACTTATGTAACCTTAGCGTTGCTGAGGTGGGAGGGGGAACGGGAAGATTCGGAAAGCTGCCTAAAGTTTGCTGGTCAACCACCAGGAGTATATGGGCAAAGCTGCAGAAGCAAAAACAAGAGAGACCCTATCACTGAACAAGGTAGAAGGCAAGAACCAGTTTTGGAAAGTTGTCCTCTGACTGCCTCGTGTCGTGAACACACAATGGGAACACCCGCATACAGCCCACCCCCAGTTTATTGAAGATGGCAGGAGTCTTTATTGGTTAAGATCCTGCCATGCCTTGACTTGTGAACAAAGTCAGTCTTAGAGTTCTGTTACCAATCTAGCAGTGTTTACCATCTGATGCATGTTCCAGTGACAAAAAGCCAAGTTTTCTTATTAAAGGGAAGCCAGAGAAAAGAAAGTGTTAATATACCTTCCGGGCGGCTGGCTAGTTACTACTTGATTACAGCGGGGGAACCTGTACTTATGAGCTGAGCCTTGGCAGGAATCCTGTGCTAAAGGCAGGCAGCCCTGGGTGCTTTGAAATCAGGAAAACAGCAGGAGACGGGCTGCTGGGCGGGGGTAGGGGTGGGGAGCTCCACTCTCTCAGGTGCAGGAGATCAGCTTCCCTTTGTCGTTCACTTTATTGCGTTTCTCTGATCCTCCCGAGGGTCCTGAGGTGGGATTATGTGGAACAGCAATAGAGAGATGTTCAAACCTGTAGGGCTCCCAGGTAGAGAGGGAGGCTGGGGGTAGGGGGTGGGGAGAGTAACAAATCCAGGCATGTGGCACGGGAGGGTATCACCAGAGGCAGGCACATACCAGCTCTGTCGGTGAAGGTAAGGTCTATGCCCCCTGCGCAGGCCATCGGTTAAAGTCCCAGGCAGGGAAAGACAGCAGCTTGCTGGGAAAGCATGGGAGGGAAGAGTGGTGTCTAAGCAGAGTCACACCCAAAGATGGGAAAAATGCCCGGACTTGTTCCTGGCAAACTCCACACATGACTGTGGTGCCACCAGCCTTCCTGTCAACATGCAAACCAGGGAGGCCACCCTTGCTGGGCTGCTGATGTGCCCCTCGCAGAGCTGACACCCACACGGAGAGTGGATTGAGTGTGTCCATCCCACAAAAACTGCTGACAGAGCACATCCATGGTCAGCAGAGCCCATGTGGGAGGGTGTGGCATTTAAAGTCTCACGTGTAATGGGCGGTGCTCCCACACCCTCTTTCTGTCAAACTGGGAGAAACGCTCCCTTTTATATTGGCAGCTTCCCTGTGGGAAGAAGCATATGTGAGCCTGAACTTTCTCAATGAACTATTCCTCTTAGAATGTAATGCCAAGACACGGGCCACTTCCCAGTACAAAGCAGGGACATCTGTATTTCTCCTTCGCCTTCACATCTGGAAAATTTTGAGTTAAATTTGACTGCCTAAAGCTATAGCCAGTTAAACTGGAGTTTCTGCGGGATGTTTCTATCTCTTTTTATTCCTACATGACTCTCATTAATTTAAAATTACTTTGAATTTTTAACTTTTTAAAGCATTGGAGCCAAGGATTTCCTTGTGTGAGAGCATGGATGTTTATGTACATTATTGGTTTTAATCCCCACTATGACTAGTGCCTTCTTCACTGAAGCAAAAATAAGCCACATGTTGAAGGGAACTGGGAGTCTGCTGAGCCCTTAGTGGCCAGGTGTGGATTCAAACGCGGCCCTCCCAGTTCTGAGCCTGGTGCTTCTCTGTCCATGGCTGCCACTTCTCCACCTGCTCATTAATGGCAAACTTCAGAAGGGAGTAGTACATTCTGGTAGAAGATGTAGGACACTCGGGAGGATGGACAGGTGTTGGAAGGCACACCAGACCCTGAAAGGAGGTCGTAGATTTGGACAGAAGAGGCTCTGTCCATCTGTGGTCCACCTGCCTGTGCAAAGGCCAAAGCGGGGTACATGGGGCAGGGATAGCCTCCCTTCTCTAAGTTCTTTCCTCCTCCCCACCTCTCCCCCACTGAGATAGGAATCCATCCCATGGAAGGACCTGCTGTCTGCCGGATAGGAGCCAGAGACATACTACAGCAGTTCGGAATTCATTTTGGGAGACATCTTGAATATTCTTCTGTCTGAGTCAGACTCGGATTGTTTTTAAAAGTAGGCTCACAACCAACAGGCGACCCAAACTACATCAGTCTTGAGGCAGCTGGAACATTGCATGTAAAAACAAGTCGGGAGAAACAGCCCTGCCATTCCAACCACTCCGCATTTCATTTGTGTAAACGTTTAGCATTCTAGAGGCCTGCTGCCCCATGTGGGTGCATCCCAGCTTCAATAGATACTCAGAGCATCACTGTTTTCATACTTGGTAAACCTAGGTCCAGGTTGCACCCTGGTCTAGCCTATGCAGGAAATCTTGTTCCCATTGGGAGAAGAAGGGGGCGTGGAGGGCTGTGTTCTGTGTCTTACAAGGGCTAGGACTTAGCTTATGGAGGAAGAGCTGGCCACACAGGATACAAAGGGCTTCTCTGATCTGTGGCCCTGGCCAACCAAGTGTGGACCCCTTGAGTGGTGGCGAGGGTGTTTTGGCTCTTGCATTTCTAAGTACACAAAAAAATGTACCCAATTTCAAATGCTCAAGAGCAGTTCTGCCCCAGGCCAAGTAGGACACCTGGCAGCCCTGACAGGCCAGTGAGCTGAAGCAGACAAGTGAGCTGAACTTTGAAGTCAGTCCCAAGGGGTTTGTGTTTAGAAACAAAGACATGATTTAGGGATTTTTATCCCTCGATTTCCTAACTTGGGCCTCTCGCCAAACCCTGGGGAGGGGGTGGGGAGCTAGTAGGTTTCCTTGCTTCCTCCCTTTAATTCCCCCTTTCCACACATGCTGGCCACCTTACTATAGAACCCAAATCACTTTCTTCTTATATTTGGTACACAGTTTCTTTTCTCTTTTTGCTCTCCTTTTAAGTGGTAAACACAGTATGTGCTCTATACATAGTGTGTGCATATCCTTTCATACTTAATGCATTTTGATAATTTTCCACCCACCCACCCCACCATTGCCTTCTTTTAGACTCTTCCATTGGAACCTTCTTCCTAAGTCTCCTTCTTGGATCTGTGGAGAGAGAGAGAGACAGAGACAGAGACAGAGACAGAGACAGAGACAGAGAGAGAGAGAGAGAGAGAGAGAGAGAGAGAGAGAGAGAGAGAGAGAGAGAGAGAGAGAGAGAGAGAGAGAGAACACAAGTCCCGTCACTAAATTTGGAGGCTATATAAGAGCCCAGCAAACTTCAGTGATCTTGGTCCTCTTATCTCTGCCCCTTGCACTGCTGGTGTTAACAAATGTGCTAGGCTTTTTATGTAGGAACTGGGGATTTGAACCTGGGTCATAATTTCTGCACAGCAAAAGTTCTTACTCAATGAGCCATCTCCCCAGCCCCAAGTTACTGTCTTCATTAGCCTCTTTGTCACCCAACCCCCTCCTAGTTCTCATTCATGGCCACCCCTCTTGCTAATTCTTTTGCTTTCTGTTACCTTTTCTGGAGTGTGTTGGCAGACTACTTTGAACCCAGATTGCCTGATGGTGTTCACGGTTAGGCAGGGGTCTCTTTTGCCGAGAGACAGTCAGACACGCTGACACTGGCGTTTGGAGGAGGCCACCTAGGGCTTCTCTCAACACCATACTCACCTCACTTCCAAGAAAATCTTTCTTTTTGGTGGCGGACCATCATCCAGGACAAACAAAAGCTTTAGTTTGTGTGTGTGTGGTCAGACAAGTGTTCCACTGTGTAACTGTTACTTCCACATGGGAATAAGATCTTTGGAATGAGAATCCACCCTTTTATTTGGGCAAGTCACACGGCCTCTAATGAGGGTGACCTCTCTGTCATCACAGGCGACCAGACTGCCTTCCAGCTTCAGGTGCGCCAGGTGGAGGACTATCCCGTAGACCTATACTACCTGATGGACCTTTCCCTCTCCATGAAGGATGACTTGGACAACATCCGGAGCCTGGGCACCAAGCTTGCTGAGGAAATGAGAAAGCTCACTAGTAACTTCCGGTTGGGTTTTGGGTCTTTTGTTGACAAGGACATCTCTCCTTTCTCCTACACGGCACCGAGATACCAGACCAATCCATGTATTGGGTAAGTGGCAAAAAAAAAAAAAAAGCCCACAGAAAGGCAAGTTAGGGGAAACATTAGGCTTAGGTATTCAATGACTAATGATGGCCACATTCTATCCTTGACCTACATGTGAGAACGTGAGCCGTCACGGGGTTGTATCAAGACATAATTGTCTTATGAGGCTTATTTTCTTGCCTGCCTCACACAGCACTATTCTCTCATTAATATAATTTAGCCAGTGTCCTCAGGGAGTCATGGGTCTGGGAGGTTCGGGGAAGACCAGGAAAATACAACAACTAGTTCTTTCTCTTTGCCAGTGGTAACTGGTATGTTCACAGGTACATGGTTCAGGGAGCTGGGGAGATGACTCAGTTGGGCAAGTGCTTGCTTGCACAAGCATGAGTAGTTGAGTTTGTGAAAGCTGCCACTTAACATGCTCATAATCCCCAGCACTGGTAAAGGGGAAACAGAGGACCCTTGAGGTTTTGAGTCTCACAGAATGAGTGCCAGGTTCAGTAAGAGACTCTGTCCACAGGCAACATGATACCTGATACTGATCTCTGAGTTCCACATGTGCACACATGCATGTGCATAATCACACATAATACATTCATACAAAAAGATAAATACATTCAGAGATTTCCCCTGTTGTCTATATGGACAACTATGATTTAATTCCATAAAGCTAAATGAAAAATCCTGTTTCAGTTTTAATTTTATATGTGTGTATATACTCTGCTTATGCATGTATGTGTGTGCAGGTGTGTGTATGCCTCCATGTGTAGAGATCAAATGATGCCCTTGGATATCCGTCCTCACCTTCCACCTTGTTCGAGGCAGGATATTTTTGTTGTTTGCCATTGCACTGCATATGCCAGGCTAGCTGCACGAGATTCCAGAAGTTCTCCTATCTCTGTCATCCATCTTGTTGCAGGAACACTGGGGTTACAGGTTGCACTACTGAACCTGCCTGTCTTAGTTAGGGTTTTTATTGCTGTGAAGAGACACCATGAGCATGGCAACTTGTATAAAGAAAACATTTAATCGGGATGAGTTGCTTGCAGTTTCAGAGGTTCAGTCCATTGTCATGATGGGGAGCATGGCAGCGTGCAGGCAGATGTGGTGCTGGAGCTGAGAGTCGTACATCTTGCAGGCAGCAGGAAGTCAACTGACTGTCACACTGAGCAAAGCTTGAATAAGAGACCTCAAAGCCCGCCCCCACAGTGACACACTTCCTTCAGTAAGGTCATACATATTTTAACAAGACTACACAGTCAAACCACCATGTTCTACTCCCTGGCCCCCAAAGGCTTATAACTGTATTATAATGCAAAAAAAAATGCATTCAGTCCAACTTCAAAAGACCGTATAGTCTATAACAGTCTCAAACTTGTTTCAAAGTCCAAAGTCTCTTCTGAGAAAGCATGGCAATAACTGTCATCCCCCAATAAAAATAAAAATAAAAAAGCAGGCAGTATATTTCCAGAATATAATGGCACAGGATATACATTACCATTCCAAAATGCAGGGAAGGAAATGCTGGACTAAAGCAAGACCAAAAACCAGTACACAAAAATCCAAACACTGAGGCTCCATGCCTGACAAAATGCTCTACAGATCTCCAATTCTGTTCAGCTTTGTTGACTGTGGCATGCTTCTTTCTCTTAGGCTGCGTCCACTCCCTGTTAGCAGCTTTCCTCAGGAGGCATCCTAGACTCTGGTATCTCTAATATCTTGAGTTCTCCAAGGCAATCCAGTCTTCACCTTCACGCAATGGCCCCTCTACTAGGCCTTCATTCAGGGACACCCTGACACGTGCCTGGCCTCAGTGACTTTATTCAATAACTCCTTTCTTCTATCCTTAACTCTAAAGCCAGAACCATGTGGCCAAAGCTGCCAAGTTCTGTTGCATGCTAGGGCTGGAACATTACATCTTCACCAGCCTTCTATCTTTCGCTGCCAAAGCTTGGCTGTCCTGAAACTTGCTCTCTAGACTAGGCTGGCCTCAAACTCAGAGAGATCCACCTGCCTCTGCCTTCCCAGTGCTGGGATTAAAGCTGTGTACCACCAAACTGACTCTAAACTTTTTAAAATTCCTTTTCACAAGTTAGAAATTTAGCTGGAATGTTACCTTGCCCTTAGGTCACCACTCCCTTCTTCCATTTCTTAATAGGTTTATCTCCTTGAACACGGCTTTAGTTCCATTCCTTTTTTTTTTTTTTTTTTTTTTTTTTGGATTGGGTTTTTTTCGAGACAGGGTTTCTCTGTAGCTTTGGAGTCTGTCCAGGAACATCTGCCTCCCAGATGCTGGGATTAAAGGTGTGTGCCACAGCTGTCTGGCCCATTCCACTTTCTGGTGCCCTTTTCTCCTCAGATATTTTTCCTTGCTCAGTTTGCTCCTTTTCATTATAAATCTTCATTAGAGTTACTACTAATATCCGCATGATAGTCTATACTAGGCTGTTTTGGGATTTCTTCTGTCAACAGAATTTATCCAAAACTTTAGCCTCAGGCAGACTCTTCTGACGAGGGACAAAAGACAGCCACTTTCGTCACCAAAATATTGTACGAATGATCTCTAGGCAGCCTACTAAAACTCCTCTCCTCTGAAACCTTGAGGTGGCTCCCCAACCCCAGTTCATCAGATCACATTCAGCACCAGTGCCTTCCATGCTCCTACTAGTACTGCCCATTAAGCAGTGCTTAAAGCCTTCCACTGCTTTCCTAACCCAAAGTAACGAAGTTCAAATTCCTCCAAACAAACGCATGGTCTGTCCTATCTCAGCCCCTGGTACCCACTTCTGCCTTAGTCAGGTTTTCATTGCTCTGAAGAGACGCAATGACCACAGCAGCTCTTATAAGGAAAGCATTTATTGGGATGGCTTACAGTTCAGAGGTTCAGTCCATTATCATCATGATGGGGAGCAGCCCGCAGACAGACACGGTGCTGGAGCTGAGAGTGTAGTCAACAGGAAGTTGACTGTCACAGTGAAGGAAACTTGAGCAAAAGAGACCTTAAAGCTCGTTCCCGCAGTGACATACTTCCTCCAACAAAGCCACACCTCCTAATGGTGCCCCTCCCTTTGGGGTCCATTTTCTTTCAAGCCACCACACTGCCTTTATATGGGTTCTAGGGCACACTCAGGTTCTCATGCTTGCTTAGCACAATCTTATCCGCTGAGCTTATTTCTCTAGCTATTTTTTTAATGGTATTTCGTTATGTAGCTCTGGTTGTCCTCCAATTCACTCTATAGACAGGGCGGGCTTTGAACTTACAGCTATCCTCCTGACTCTGCCTGCCAAGTGCTGGGTTTATAGGTGTTGCTGTCCTGTCTTGCCTGGCTGCCTGTTTTAAGTGAGGGATTTTTTTGTTTTTTGAAATAATTTAAGTGTTTGAATTAGAAAGTATTTGGCAAATTATTAACAGGCAGGAGTTTCTAACTTTTCACCAGATGCTAAAGCATATAAAGGGCAAACTTCCTCTGGTTTTATTTCCTGCTTTTCTATGATTCTCGTGAGGTCTCCTGGTCAGTGGATGTTGCTTCTGCAAGCAGTAGCTCAGGGATCTAGACCCCTTGCACACATGGCTGCAAGGTCAACCTGCCCGGAGGACTGTCTGCTCCATACTCTGAAATTGGAGGCCAAATAAGTCAAGTGGCGGTGACGTACATCTTTAATTCCAGCAGATCTCTGAGTTCAAGGCCAGCCTGGTTTACGGTGCTGGTTGTAGGACAGCCAGGGCTACTCAGAAAGAGAAACCCTGTCTTGAAAAAACAAACAAAAAAACAGAAAAAGAAAGAAAAGAAAACTCCAGTGAGATAAACAGTTTTAAATATAGATGTATTCAAAGTTCCTTAAGCATAAAGAGATGCTAGACATCATTTCCTGGGTGTAGCTTCTTCAGGGCCATAAACTAGGTTATGATTAGTACATCTGGTCTCTAAGGCCCCTCTGTCAGCTGTCCCCAGGCCTCATTGTTGGAGTTTTGCTACTTCCTGGGAGCAGCAGCATCTGAATCAAAACATTTTTGGGATCCATTGGAACAGAGATTCTATCCTGTCCTTTCTGTTCCTGCCCTGATTGGGCTCTGACTCTCAGACAGGGTGTGTCTGCACCCACAGAGATGCTGGACTGGGAGCTGGCAGAGGATCAGGGACCAGTTTAGATGCTTAGCATTCAAATAGTCAAGGCTATTGCACATAGCTATTCAGAGTTCCTACTCGAAGCCCTCCAGGCAGACACAGTGGAAGACAGTGCAATTCTTGACAGCACTCTGAAAAGCTGTTCCTAAGACAGGAAATCACTGAAGAAAGCATGTTAGGCGGGAAACATCAATTCTAAGTCATGTAAATCTCTCTTTTGTATGCCAGGAAGTACCAGGAAAGACACTGTAGCTCTGGGGAGTGGGCTGAGCTTCCCACCCTGGCATCCCCAGTCTCCATGGAGAGTCCTTTGCAACTTGAGAGGGCAGGCTGGTCCTGTAATCTAGCTGTCCCACACCAGGTCTGAGACAACACATGTGTTGTTTGCTTTTCTGTTTTTAAGGCTCTGTTAGATACTGACATCTAAAAACCAACTAGCCATAAATTACCAGAATTTCTAGGTTTTCTCCACTCAGTATACAATGCACCAGAAACACTAAATCTGAATAAGTGCCAGACTTGCCATGGGGAGAAAGAAGTAATATAAGCATCAGATTAAAGACCAGTTTACTAGCTGTCCCGAGTCACAGGAATACCTCTAGAAGTCGGGATACTCACTGACACCCCATTTTTAGTCTCCGGTTGAGGAACTTTTATTTCCTTAATCGTGCTGGCATCGAGATACATTCATTTAAAAACATGGATGTTTAAAAGCATCTCTACCACTATTGATGTTTCTACCACCCTTAGAGTGTTTCCCCAGGAAGCCATGGTGTTCCTTTGTCACCTTGAAGGTGTCATTCCACTGCCTTCTAGCATCTGTGCCTGAGGTGTCTGCTGTTTACCTAACCCTGCTCTGTCACATGCTGTGTCTCCACT